TTTGAGGTGGCGGCTTATTACAAGGGCTGGCATTTTGGGGCACCCCATCTTAAATTGAACTACTTGTGGACAGCCTCATTCGGGGTTAAGGATGTTTTCGACTGGTTTTATTCGAAATGGGTTTTGATTCGGGTTGAATATTTGGCTCCTCCTCTGCAATTTTTGGCCAATGTTTGTATAGTATTGTTCCTTATTCAGACTCTGGATAGGCTGATTCTTTGTCTGGGCTGTTTCTGGATCCGATTCAAGAAAATCAAACCAGTCCCTAATGTTGCTGCCTTGGATCTTGAATCTGGAGAGAATGGCTACTTCCCCATGGTTCTTGTTCAAATCCCAATGTGCAATGAGAAAGAGGTAAATTCTGGAGTTTCAGCCCTTTCCTGATGCATATAATGCTCTGTTTTTGGAGATCTCTTTTCGGTTTTGATTGTTTTTTCTTTTTATTGATTATAGGTTTATCAGCAATCGATTGCTGCTGTCTGCAACTTGGACTGGCCAAAAGATAAGCTACTGATTCAGGTTCTTGATGACTCGGATGACCCGATCACCCAATTGTTGATCAAGGAAGAGGTTGAAAAATGGCAGCAACTCGACGCCCACATTGAGTACCGGCACCGGTTGATCCGAGAGGGGTATAAGGCGGGCAATCTCAAATCTGCCATGAATTGCAGCTATGTCAAAGACTATGAATTTGTTGCAATCTTTGATGCTGATTTTCAACCTGCCCCTGATTTCCTTAAAAGAACTGTTCCTCATTTTAAGGTAACCTGTTTGTTGCTATTTGTTTCTGTCTGAGATTTAATTTTGTCTAATGCCGAATAGAAAAAGATCACTGGTTTTGGATTTCTCTCATGGTCTGCATGATTATTGGCCTTTTAATGTAATCATGTTTGGATTGATCAAAACGAACTGCTGATGATTGGCACTTCAGGATAATGAGGAACTAGGACTAGTTCAAGCACGGTGGTCCTTCGTTAACAAGGACGAGAACTTGTTAACCAGGCTGCAGAACGTTAACTTAGCCTTCCATTTCGAGGTCGAGCAGCAGGTGAATAGCGTGTTTCTGAATTTCTTTGGATTCAATGGAACGGCTGGTGTTTGGAGGATAAAGGCTCTTGAAGAAGCCGGTGGATGGTTGGAGAGGACCACTGTTGAGGATATGGACATTGCAGTTCGTGCTCATCTTCATGGATGGAAATTCATATTCCTCAACGATGTAGAGGTACCGTATTCTCGATTCTCGACTATTTTTTATCTCAGGAAGGCTAGTTTAATTGGTGTTTCGTATTGATGGCTGATTCTCTTACTCTTTTGTGCAGTGCCACTGTGAGTTACCAGAATCGTATGAAGCGTATAGAAAACAACAGCACAGATGGCACTCTGGACCAATGCAACTGTTTCGTCTTTGCTTGCCCGACATAGTTCGATCAAAGGTAGACGATTTACATTGTTTTATATCTGATCCGTTTCGTCGTTGTCATGTGTCATACTTCAATTATATCATGTTCTTGTTTCTCCAAATGCAGATTAGCATATCCAAGAAATTCAACTTGATTTTCCTGTTCTTTCTCCTTCGGAAGCTGATACTACCGTTTTATTCATTTACCCTTTTCTGCATAATTCTCCCAATGACGATGTTCATTCCCGAAGCCGAGCTACCTGCGTGGGTTGTATGTTACATTCCAGCCACCATGTCTTTTCTCAACATCCTTCCAGCACCAAAATCCTTCCCCTTCATTGTCCCTTACCTCCTCTTTGAGAACACAATGTCAGTAACTAAGTTCAATGCGATGGTCTCGGGTCTCTTCCAGCTGGGTAGTGCATACGAATGGGTTGTTACGAAGAAGTCAGGCCGCTCCTCGGAGGGCGATCTCGTCTCAATGGTCGGGAAGAAGGATCTGAACAATGAAAAGAGCTTCTCCACAAACAATCTGGAGGAGATTGAGTTGATCCAAAAACAGGAAAACAAGTTGCCAAAGAAGAAACATAACAGAATATACATGAAGGAGCTAGCACTGGCTTTCCTTCTTCTAACAGCCTCAGCTAGAAGCCTCTTATCAGCTCAAGGGATTCATTTCTACTTCTTGATGTTTCAGGGCATCTCCTTCCTCCTCGTCGGTCTAGACTTGATCGGCGAGCAGGTTGCTTGAAACAAAAGCTCCCGCAGTTCATCCGAAAACAAGATTTCCAACCACATCAAAGTTCCAAAATGTTTGGAACTGAAAACTACACTTCACTGCTTAAAAGATTACGTTCAACATCTGTTGGCAGCAATCTTCGTCCCGTCCGAGTTCTCCACCTTCGTTACCGCCAAATTCGTCGACGTAATGAGAAGGAAAATGCAAAACAGAAGCGGAATGGTGAAGATATATAAGATTGATTTAATTTTGCTTCTGTTGGGGTGGGGGGGGTGTCTTTGTGGCAACTCTTTCACAAGAAGCCAGGAGTCAAACATGAACAGATAGGATTTGTTTCAGCCTGCAGGCAGAGAATAGGAGCAGTCTGTGTTCTTTTGGTTATTAATTTTATTTTCTTCCCTTTGTCAATAAAGTATGGGTATAATATTAGTTTTCTTTGTTGTGTCAATAAACTATGTGAATTACATTAGTTGTGTGTCAGTGTCAATATAAATGTTTGGCAGAATGTCCTCAAACTCTTTAATTCGCTTCGTTTATAAATGGCATCAACAAAACCAACTTTCCATGGCTTTCCTTTTAATGATATTATATTTTGGAGTCAAAAGAAAATAATTATGAAGGTTGTGCAGAAACTGATAATTTAGAAATGAACTTTAAAATCATGATTGCACAAGGCTGAAGATGTACAGCTGTTTGGGGTGGGTGGGAAGGAAGCTTCTGAAATCTTCCTGCCAAAATTCTGTAAACCCTCTCTGACCACGTGTGAATAATGGAACCCTCCTATTATTAGAAGGCCATAGACTACTGGTTACAATTTGCTTACTTTTTACCACCAAAATATTTTTTCATTTTCAAATTACGTCTAAATTGAGAGATTTGAATCTCCAAAAGGGGGAGATGACTTACGTGTCCAGCCCATTAGTAATGAAAAAGAGGTCGAGGAGATCCGTATATATTGTTCAGGTTGATCCAGAGGGGTCAAAATAGCTAGAACTGAATGCGCAAACTATGGAAAACGTCTCGTAATGCAAATGTAAATTTTATATAAAAAAGGAACGTGTTAAATTTGGAACGTATGAAATATAGTAAATATTGTAGAGAGAAATGTAGTAAGAGTTGCAAATCGACGGTACACAACTTGATTTTGGTTTTGGAAGATATAGCACTAAAAATTGCATTGTCTTTCGAGTAATTGAAGAGATAATTTTATTGATCGAAAAATTTCTAGAAAAAGGTAAAACATGGTTACTCGTTGTCAATTGCTGCATGTGACATTCAATATTTAATCAAATACATTTCTTCCCTCCCTCCCTCAATTTCATTTATTTGTTGCAAAAGAAAGACAAATCTCACATTTTTTTTATATCTTTAAAAATACAAATATGTACGAGATAATATAAGTTCTTCTTTCCTTTTTATTGAAAAGAAAAAAAAATGTTTGAAAACTATTTTTTGTTTGGTAAAATTTTATATGAAAATTAATTTTTCAAATATCTAAAAAAATAATTTTTTAAATTAAATATTGAAAATTGTATGTTACATTTATTTTTGATAATTATTATGTATTTTATAAGTAAAAAAATCGAAAAAAATAATGTTTTTATTTATATTTTGAAAAATAAACCAGTAATAAAATCAAGAAACTTAATTCCGTTGTTTCCAAAATTTTTATGCAATTTTGAAAATGTTTCCTAAAAATGAGAGACGGAAGAGTTATCCAATACTTATATCGCTAAAATAGAAATAAAAAACAAAAAACGGACCATTAATTTTCTCACACAATTCACAGTGAGGACACTCTTCTCAACATCAACAAAAACAATTAATTTTGATTAGGACCACTTGACAGTACAACTTGTTAATCTTCAACAATCAATATCACAAACTCATAATAGAACATCAAACAGACAAACACCATGGTAGTACACAACATTTCCTCTCCCTTTTGCTGTAAATTCCCTGTTAGAAGATAGAAGCCATTTTCACTGTTGGGATGCTATGATTTTCATTCATTTTTTTTCATTTCTTTTTTTGGGTGGCCAAGTGTGTAAAGATTAATTAATTGCCTTGGGCTCAATTATTATGGGTAAAAGCAGAAACGCTTTAAATTCTACTCCATTATACTAAAAATAATTTGGCCTTGGTCATTACATACACCTCTTTAAAACTCAAATAAAAGCAGCACATTTTCTTCAATATTGAATTTTTACTCTAAAGTTGGTGGGTTTCTATTCAGAGAAATAATTATTTGAGAATATATGTAACCCACTTTTTATTATTATTATTTATTTAGTCTTAAATATTTTGTATATAATTGGATTGGTAGAGGATGATTGGATTGGATTGGACTGGACTCATAAAGTAGATTTTTGCAATGATATGATCTTATGGATGATTGTTGATTTATATCTTTACATCATACACATAATAAAGGTTAGAAGAATTTTTTTCCTTTTACTATTTTTATGATGTATTCTGGGCATGTGGGTTTATAAGAGAATCTAATAATATATTTTAATTTTTTTTCAAAAAATATAACATTACAAATATAAGTTGAGGTGGAGATTCAGACCTTCTACTGTTAGAGGAGAACTGGTTGATCAATTAGTTGAGAATTATTTCCAAAATGAAATGACAAATTTAATATTTTTAATTTAGGAAACATTAATGAAATTATAATGTTTTCTTCTTGTTTTTTTTTGACTTATAAAATTACATATTAAATAACATATATAGACCAAGAATTCTATAATACTATAGAATCTTTTGCCAAAACTAAATTTTTAGTTGAAATTTTTAATAAAAATGTTTAGATAACAAAAAAAAAGATATATGAACACACCTTCCTATTGCTTCTTTAGTAATATAAAAGTAACCAGCACAACAGAAATTCCTTATATCTTTTCCAAATCTTGATTGAAAAGTTAAGTATTTTATTATTATTATTATTATTTTCTTTAGTAATATAAAAGTAACCAACATAAGCTTAACTCAACAGTAATTGACACGCATCTTGACTAAGAGATTATGTGTTCGAATCTTCACCCGACCTGTACTTCTATCGAAAATAAATTTGCTCATAAGTGCTATTTATATTTCTATCAACTTTATGTATTGATGGCATTATCAATAATTTAGTATGTCAACTCCCAATTTAATGCAATTGGTATTGCATTTTCATGGAAAGTGACAATTATGAAAGAAAACAGGGGGTTAAAAAAAAGTAGGTGAAAAGGACCTTATGAGTTAGATTGTGAGATTAAACAGAAAAAGGCCCAGGGAGGTTGTAATAAATGGACAAGTTGGCAAACTCAACCATATTAGTAACAACTTCTCTAATGACCATAACAATATTTTGCTGGTTAATTTAATAGTGATGGCTATGAATTGATTACAGAAAGTTGAGTTTGTATAACCTATATTCCGTTTATACATATGGTAGAACTCGAGAGAGTTGAGAGAGGGAGGGCAGGGAACATTACTTCAAACCTCAACTTGACTTCAAGCATGCCTTTATCAGTGGTCAAGATCGAGTCAAGATGTTTTAAACCTCCACCTACCGTCACTTTCAGATACACGTTTTAGATTGCTCATCTAGAGAATACTTTAGATAATACTAACTTGAGCATTGAAACTTACTTTCTCTCTCGTAGGTCATATGTTCACCTTGAACAGTAAGATGACACCTCTCTAGACATTTGATTTTCACACTAAAAAATATATATTAATGAATCTGTAATTTTTTTTAAGATTCAACAAAATGCAGGGTGGAAGATAGAATCTTTAAACCGGAGAAAGGTAATGGATGCATTATCCATCGAGATAGGCTCGGAATTGTAAAAGATTTAGTGTGTAATATAAAAGGTCAAATTCATATCATATGGATTTATGTAGCTGATGGAATAAAAAAATTTGTGGTGTAAGACCAAGATTTGAATTCAAACTCAATTTAAAGTCATGAGTCTTTTCCAGCTTTCAAGAGTTGGACTTCTCTATCGCAGACAGAACAAATGACTAACATTTTACAAAGCTGTCTAATTTGCTTCACTTGCTGTGACCATCAAAGGAAGAACACCACAGAGACTGTCGGCAGAATTTCAACAGTGACATCAAGGGAAACAAAAGAACACACACGACAGCTTCTGAGAAACTTGAAATCAAATCACAACCGTTCCTTGATTTCATCATCATCAGTAGAGTACATCTTCAAACATCATGGTCAGATTGTCTCTCTCCATCTCTTTCAATTTCCCTTCATATTAATTTTTCTACATACCAACCAAACAAAATCACAACCTTTTGCCATCAATGTCTCTGGTTTTGCAGCTGCATATTGTGATCATCTACTCAACTAAGTTATGTTTTGTGTCAAGATTCAATGTCTGTGGTTTTGTTGCAGTGATTGTACATAGTTTATAATTTCATCGAGCACCGCGGTCTTCCCGGTAACCTGAAATAGTAAACAAGGCTTTAGATTATAATGACAGACACGATTTTGCAGCTAGGATTATGGCTTTGAGAGCTTTCTTTATCTTTGATTGCTATCTGGTCTGTCGTTAAAATTTGCACATATTCTATGCTCAACTTTCAGAGTTTTGTAATCTTTTTTAAGGATCTCACTTCTCATATACATTCTCAAATTGGTTCCATATTCAAGTTCCCTTCAGCATTCTAAACAACAAATGCAAAAAACTATTCAAAGATTTGGCAAATGGAGCGAACACAAAAACTAAAAGAAACATTACTAGAAAATTCACCGTATTTGAACCCACCATTCCCGAGAAGCTCCCACTTCCAAACATATAAAAACTCAAACTTGAGGATCATGAAGAAGGTGGGGCTATGGTTTTTACTTCCTATTTCTCCTTAGAGGAAAAAAAAGTGGTCTTCCACACTTGACTACGATACCATTTCTAAAACATTTTAGAACTCTTTCGATTATTTGTTATCTTGTAACTACATTTTTTAAGTGTATAATTTACATATATTTACGAAAAAAATCACCGATTGTTTGAAAGTTCGACAATATATGGGGTGAGAATTCAAATTTCTAACTTTTTAGTCGAGAATTTATGCCCTTAACCAATTGAATTATAATTTGACAAAATCACTATCTTTTAATCCATACAAATATAGTGTGGTGATATATTTTTTTCATCGTATAAAAAATATATATATATTTTCCTAACCACTAGGTTATTTTTAGGTTCTCTAATCAATACAAGATAATAAATTAAATTAGATAAATTAATTTGATTTAAATGATATGAAGTACTAATAAAAATATTTTTCAAATACATAATTTGATCCAATTTTATAATAGTTCCAAATAGCCCTATTTTGTAAAGATTAAATTTTATTTTAGGTTGCATTACTTCACTTGTTTTATATATGAAAAATATTTGGCTTCTCATCGGTGAGAGTCAATTTTGTGTTCACCAATATTAAATGTTTGACTTTAAATTAGTGCAAAAGCATATTTTTTTTTTAAATAATGAATTGATAATTATTCATAACAAAATTTAGCCCTCATTGATAAGAAGCAAGTATTTTTATTT